TAGACACTGAGAGGCGTGAAAGGAAAAATCAAAGCTGAAATATGATCGAACATTTCCTTACCCTGCACGTCAAAACTTCCTAAACGATTTGGACTTTGAATATTTCTCAAAACGATTTCTGGCTATGTTAGCCATGGTGGTTTTTTTTTTTTCCAGTCTAAGGGGAAGTTTTGTTAACATGATGCATTCTTGATCTCATCTCACCCGTATTTTACCAGTCATCACAGAATGGCGATTGGGGTGACTAAGTGACATTTTAGTGCGTTTTAGGCACAGGGCGTGTCAATTCCTGAGAATACAGCTTTATTTAACTGTGACAGTCATATGGGTTAACGTTATTAAGAATTTCACGTTTCCTTGTTTTTCCCTAACAAGCGCCGAAGTCATCCGTGTAAGAAAGGCGCAAAAAATTGAGCTGGAAAGCACAGATTCAGCCGGTAAAATGCATTTGTCAGAATCGGACATTGCTGAAGGCTTGTTGAAATCAGCGAAAAAGAATCCAGAAACGCTATCAAAGACGCCGTATTCAGAAGTTTAAGTGAAAGTAAGGAGAAGACACCGAGAGTATGGACATCCCCTTTGTCGGGTGCCTCTACACCACATATAGCTGAATTTGTGATGTGAATGGTCGCAGTTCGGCAGCTCCAGTGGGCAGTGCGAAGTCAGCCCACCACAACCACAAGCTGGTAGTGTAGTCAGCTGGTGGCCCTAGTCGAGTTATAGTTGCCAAAATACGTGGGCCGATTCGCTTCGGGACAGATATCAGTCGGAGTCATAAGGTAATTTACTTTTTTAATAGAATCAGAGAGGAGTGGCACGAGCATTAATCTGACCATTGCTGGACGGATTTAGGCCATCTCAGGTCCCTGAGTTCTTCGCAGTTCAGCATTTGTCTCGTATTGTCGGCCTGGTTCCATCATTGGCCTGGCTGTCTGAATGATCCGGGATGATGGCTCGTTTTCACCTCGCCAGGCTTTTAGCTTTGCAAATGTTTCAATGCCAAATAATATTGTCAGCGCCACACACAGTATCTGCAAAACTTGCCTGCTTCTAGTTTTGTGTTAATCGCAGTTTATCTTCTTTAATTAAAAGTGCTGTGAAAATGTAAAAGTGATGGTTGCGAGTGAGTCATGAATCGCGTCCGCTGTAGTGCACGTAATGTACGAGACGGCAGCATTCACTTGAGGTCTTTCAAGCACTGCCACTAATTTTTTCTGACTAGAGCTTACCGCATCGATTATGGCAGAGCCACGTCCGTATGTTAACCAGCTTGCCGATAAGTGCACCATAAGCCAGATTGCTATGAAAAATAGCAGTGTTGCTGTGCCGTAGAATATAAGTTCCTAAAAAAATACACATTATGCAGGAAAACAAGCTCGTGTTCGTGGACCAAATTTTGACCTCATTTTGATGCTGCTGCTGAGCTTCAGCCGATAAAAAAGCTGTAAGTTAACCAACCGTAACAATAAGTCCCTCACGAGTTTGCTCATCCTTGATGGTCAAGTGTGGGAAGCATACGTAGCCGATGAGTAGCCCTGAAATGATCACCGCAGCAGCAAATGAAATGTTCTCAGTCCATGCGGCTGTTGTTGCATTACGATCGGCACAGATCGCCAAAATAAACGATACAAATGACAGGGCCTGAAACTACCAGTGCCTGTTCAGTAAGATGCTTCTGGATCTGCAAATTGCTGCTAGTCGTTAAATTTTTCGAACTGTTTTGGTGGTGTCTTAGATACACTCACAATTTCGGCGATTTTTAAGACGCCTGGAACAGTAGCGAGGAATGCAGTATTGAGTTGTCCTTGACGATTGTCCGGAATGATCTGTATCTTACTGGACATGTCGAATTTTAGACGTCGTTTTTGTTGCTGCTGTTGCTGTTGCTTCGGGCTGTAACAGTGGTCACTCATTGGTCAGGTTTCCATGAATCTTTCTTTATGCTAGCTAAACAGAAGCTGAAAAAAGGATCCGTTTTTTTTGCGCTTCGCTTACAAATTATTGCTCTGCTTAGCTGTTTCAATTTTTCATCTTCACTGTCAAATTTCCTCATAATTTTGTGAAGAAATCTGAGGATTCTTGTTGTCACTCGAACCGTCAGAGATTTTCAGGGGTCGGATTATTTTTTTTATCTTTCTCATAAGATTTTCACTGTTTTCGAAGTTAAGCCGGCAGGTACAGGCTTCTGGATAAAAGCAGCTGCTGGGGGCGGAAATAATACCTGGACTGAGCTGGTGTGCTGAAAGACGGAGGTGACTGTGGCCCCATACGATCCTGGTCGGCAGTACCCATCACTGTACTTTCCACAACTGTACCTTCCACTGCTGGCACGGGATCTGAATGCTGCTCCAGATCCTCTGCTTTCAACATCTGTAAGCACATTTGCCACTGTTAATAATAAAAGAAATTTGATCGGTTGAAACCCGCGTAAACGCCACGCATATCACAGCAGCGCATACGAGTTATCAGGTTCTTAGGCATCCACTATTTGTCATTTGCGTTGGTGGAAACAGTCTTTCCTGCACCGAATATTCCTGCTGGGTGGCCTGGGCTAGCTGTCTTCGACAGATAGGACTTCTCATTTCATTCTTTTTGCTAAGCAGTCGCTCGTGGCTGTGACCTGTGTAACATTACTTCTACCAGTAGCAACCACTCGCGCTTGTAACGCCCTACTCCATCCCAGAGTTATTAAAAATACAGACCGAACTTGACGTATTTAGCACTTAATTTGACAGTCGGGGAATAAAACTAGTCCCAGCATTCGATTTCCTAGCAGTGACGTGCCTTTGTTCACTAGCACTTGTATCTGCCTCTTTCCTCTCACTTCGACAAGGCTGTTTAAAAAAACACACGGAACGATAACAGAGCCTGCAAGTGCTAACTTTAGATATCAAATTGAACTAGGAGGCAGACAGTGGCACGGGAAACCAGTATTACGGGCTACAGGTAGCATCCGCAGATCGATCTTTAGCGACTGTAATTTTGGCAGGATTGTTTTTCATTAGGATGTGGATTTTAGAGAAGCGTAGTAGAGATAAACTGTATGAATTGCAAAGAGGCTCCTGCAGGCAGTTGTCGGAATAACTTAAGAGGTGGGAAAGGGGGAAGCATTGAAATTGAAAAGAGAGCGGCAGCGCAGCACTGTTTGAATACGTTCAGCAAACACGAAAAGGCCAGGCTTTTCTCAGAAACATTCTCTTTTTTGTTGCTGTTGCGAATTCTTCTCATACCTCCGTTGGTATTATTAATTCTGTTGCTACTACTGTTTGTGCCACAGACATTCAAAGACAGCCTTGGTACAGTAGTCGCTGGCATCATGCGGTCTGCTACCCAGGATGGGACAGGCCACAGGTCATCGAAGGCTCATTCTCTCTAAAATTTATCGTTACCTTTAAAAGAATTGATGCTGTCGTGTCCTGATGCAAATACTTTCATACCCATCTTCAGATTGCAAATCATCGGCCTTCTGAGAGCACTCATAAGAGAGTGGGTTTTTTTGCGTTTTAGTGCGGAAGTACTTTAACAGAAGTCTCATATCTGACTGATTTTATCCGCTGCTGGTTCACATTACACTAGTAACTTGGACCTTCGCATGCTTTTTCAAGTCCGCTTCCCTAGAAATTATATTAAAAGAATTAACTAAATCGGTTCTTTTGCAACTCATACTCTCCATTTAACACGGCAGTCTGTAGGGGAGGTTGGCATGCGTCTGAAGGTTCTACCGGTTTCGAAGATAGCAGCTGACATTGCTGCTCGCTTCGGAAAACTGTTGAGAGGCATAGCCTTGGCCTACTTGGGCAGGCAGGACTGTAAAAAAAGTTTGCCGTTGAGACCAATCGCGGATTATTGGGACTGCTTTATGTTCTTGACGATGCACTAGGCTTCAGCAGTTAATTGACTGAGTGGTTGTTCGGATAAAATAACTTTTGCCTTATCAAAACTATTGCGTTGGTGCGTTATCAGCGAGGCACAGCTACAGCAAATAGCAGCACAGTAGCCGAGGTTCGTGATCTTGATGAAGCAACGGTCTAGATTAATAATCCTCGACTTGATACACATGATTAGGTCATCAGCAGGCATGTTAGGAGGCAGGCATCATTTGTGGATGCATGTACGGGGCGAGCAGGCAGTGTTTGAAAAAATAATGGACGATCGTCACTAGTTATTCCTGTGGCCTCGGCGACGTTGTAACATTTGCTGAGCCGAGAGAGATGCGGGGCGGGGGCGAGTGGCGAAGTGAAGGCCGCTGAGGGCAAAAAGATGGAATTTAGGACAAAAATGAAACGAACAAATGATATAAGGAAGGAGGAGGAGGCTTAGGCTTCGATAACATGCACGATGAAAAAACGCGATCGATGATTTGATTGGCAAAAGCAAATGTTTGCTGATCCGTGAAATGTTGAAACGATGAAGTAGGAGGAGTTCTGAACTCGGAATATATACTCCTGGGACTAGTCTACTGCTTATTTAGGCTATCCATTACTTCATATCAGTAAAGGTTAGTTAGCGCGAGAAGTACTGTGATTAAGACCTGCTATGCTTATAGCAGTTGGAATTCCTCGTTACCCGTATGCGCCTCCATGAAAGTATACAGCTGCTTTTGCTGTTCGTAATGTAAATGTCCGAAAAAGAGAGCGGCTAAAACTTATTGTACTTTTTCAAGAAGTATGACCGTTGTGGGTAGAGGTTAAGGGAGAGGAGATGGGACAACGAAGTGGCAGTTAAGAAGGCCAAAAGGCTGAACAAGGAGGGCCAGCCCAACATAATTTTGCTAAAAAAAGTTTGTGGGCGTCAAAAATAGATCGTACCAAAGCTGATAAAATTAAATCCAGTGTTAGTGGTGTTGCTGAAATCACCCACACTCCAGATGCCGGAGATGCCTGCTTCCATTTATTACTCCCCACCTGTATAATTTGCTCTTGTCACCTCTTAGGAATTCGGCTGGGTAGCAGTTTTCGTCCTTTCGAGCATTCCTCTTAAGTACGTGACATTGGCCAGCAAAAGTATAGCAAGCGAAATATTTGCTCCCGAAGTATTTTTTTTCTAAAGAACTGTTTTGTACGTCTTGTCGGATTTCGTATTGATACAATTTTTGCTTTTTCTTTCTGATTCTTCTCTCGAATCCTTACCCTCTTTTTACCTTAGTGGGAAATGGCTAAGTTCGTGCAGG